GCTGCCCGGTCATCTGCTGTGGCTGAACTGCTCCTTTGGAGCTGCCTGTCGTCTGCTGTGACTGCTGACCAGTGCCTTGGAGCTGCCCGGTCGTTTGCTGTGACTGCTGACCGGTGCCTTGGAGCTGCCCAGTCGTCTGTTGTGGCTGAACTGCGCCTTTGGAACTGCCGGTCGTCTGCTGTGACTGCTGACCGGTACCCTGCTGCCCAGCGCCTTGGAGTTGGCCGGTCGTCTGCTGTGTCTGCTGACCGGCGCCTCGGAAATCGTTGTTCCCTGTTACTTCTATCTCCCTCCATCCTCGAACGGGGGTTGTCAACATGAGGGTCGCTTTCGTAGTATTATAGTTGCAACTCTGACAGGACGCACAGTTTTGACAACCTACCAGATCTTATTTTGCTATCCTGGAGCTGCCCTCCAGATGGAGAGAGCCCGCGCCATGATATGTAGTCTCAGGATCAGCCCCCACGCACGAGCACTCCGCGATAAGCCGGGAAAAAGACAAAGCAAACTCGATGTACCAAAGCTACCACCCTTCCAGGGAACTGTTACTGTACCTAAACCCTACACTGAAATCCTCTCCCCTAGTATTAAACCCCCCCACCCCACGTAATATTAATATTAAATACTCCCCCACTATGGTCTAGTATAATTTGTTGGCAATATTTTTTGTGGGGTGGGTGGGCGTAATATTCGCGGGAGAGGATTAAGCCCCAAGTAGGAAGCTGGACTAAGCTGAGCACCACTGGCGCTGCCAGAAAGATTTGTCTGACACGCATCCATCATGTTCTTGAACCTGGGAGGACCCTAACCTTGAAACCTGAACCTAAAAGGCGCTGGGAATACATGGGGTGTAGGTGTAGGTGTATTTCCCCACCAATGAAGACTGAAATGGGCAGAAAATGGAAAATGAAATAAAGACTGGGATTGTACAGGAGTCATATTACAACGTGGGGCCTGAACTATTGGGTGCGGGGAGTAACAGGAACCATTTTGGCCGTAACGGGAACCAGTTTTCCGGACTCGTAACGGGAACCAGCCGGGACCGCAACAGAAACCGCACCCAAAACGTAACCAAAACCAGACTGCCAAGCAGCCGAAACCGAAACCGGAGCCGAAGTTCCGGAGCCCGAATCTCGCAAAGTGGGGAACCGAAAATCGGTCCCTCTCCAGGACTTCTTTTGCAACTTGCTTGTACCTCGTTCTGCTGATTTTTCTGCTTGTACTACCATGAGGGCTACTTCTACACTCCTTTTTACAGCTTGTTTGTACCTCGTTCTGGTCACTTTTCTGATCATGCTGGCACTGGTACGGCTTCTACACTCCTTCTCGGCTGAATCGTGAGCTTAAACCCCAAACCTCTAAGCCTTAAACTCCAAGCCAGAGCTTTGGATCTTCACCCTCCAAGGGTCAGGGTTTAGGGTTTAGGGTTGTGGTTCAAGGGGATTTATTCCTTATAGGGATAACAGAGGGTGCTATATGTTTTTTGGGGGGTTATAAACACCCGTACTACTACTCCTACTACTCGAATGTATGATGGTAACTAGTACCTAAACCCTAACACTCTAAACCCTCAACTCCAAGCCAGAGCTTTGGATCTTCACCCTCCAAGGGTCAGGGTGTAATTAGGGTCTATGGGTCAGGGTTTAGGGCTTCGGGCTCTGGACCCAGGGGACATGTTCATTATAGGGATAACTGTTAATAGAGGTTGCTATATACTTTTTAGGGGTTATAAGTACACTTACTAAGTCCGCTTGACCTTCCAAGTAAGGCAGAGTCGAGAACCCCCAGCCCAAGTAGGGACTGCAATATGCTGGTCCCCGTTTTATAGAATTACAACTTCTAAACCCAAAAACTTGGATCCGAAAACCCTGAACCTTAAACCCTGAAGTTCACATGTGTGCCCTGGCTTCACAAAGGGAATTTGAAGTTGAGAATTTCCACATTTGTACTTGGGGCTGCGGCTTGGTCTAGGTTGGTAGGAAGCCGGAAATGCCCGACAACATGGATCTAAAATTTCCCGTTACGCAGGGCCCAGCGGATCTGTTACGGAAACCTGCCGGTTCCTGTTACGGAATTGCCGGTTCCTGTTACACTCCACTGCTACGGACAATCGGTTCCTGTTACTTCCAATCCTACGCGCCTGAATAGATAACCATATCACTTGAAGTCTGTTTGAGGCACCCTTTGCAATATACACATATATCATGAATCAATATCGGCATGTATTTCACCTACATCAAGCCAGGGGTGATTTGGAGTTCGCCCTTTGGATGTGGCTCAGGCTTTGAAGTTGTTGAAGTTCTCGTGTGCTTGCTACCGCTAGCAGGCTACAAGTCTAATACCTTCATACTATGGAATGTTAAATCCGCCCCAACCCTATTCCCTCTTAAGCGACTTTATACTTGGGGTCCATATCTGAAGTCAGAGGAAAGGGGTACCTAATATTGTCGCGGGGGGACTAGTCTCCATTCATTTTCTCGAGAGCCACCTGGAAGTGATATATGGAAAGCCAAACTGTGAACTTGGTGCAAAACTCCGGAACCCTAAACCCCCTCCCCCAATAGTGAATCCATTGTGTTTGAAGGGCGTGGGGGTGCTTGGTAGTAGAGGGGGGAATGCTCAACCCTAAGCCCTAGACTCAAAACCGTACGTCCTAAATAGTAGCTTCCATGTTCTTTTCCATTGTCCCTATACAATCCCTATGTTGTAATATAACTTAAGGGGACCCCCACACTGTAATAGTGGTATACTAGGAATATACAAGGACCCTAATAGAATCCCTATTATCCCTCTCAGTCACTATTACCGGGTGGGAGGTCCTCCTAATATATAACCCTATATAAGCTCTATGTCATGGACTCCGAGGTACAGGATCTGCACCAGGAGAGTTCTAATCTGGCCCGATCCGGATTACTGGGGTTACACTTAGGGGTTATAGTGGCTATATGAGCTATAGTCTGAACTCCTTAAAGGGGTTATATAGGGGGATTATATAGGGGAGTATTGTAGAGGCTATTGACAGGGATACTAGACCTTTAGACAATAGCTCACATAATGTATAGGGTTTGGGGTTTAAGGTTTAGCTAC